TCTACCTTCTCTTCTCCTTTTACTTTCCTTCGTATTATTTTCTAGGCTTAGATCCAACCGTTCCTTGCATAACCTTGCCTTTATCCTGACCCTACACCCCTAGCTAGTTCTTTAGATAGAACCGTCTGTCATAGTCCCAGACTGCATATGGACGTTAAACAAATCAATCAATCAATCATTCTACAAGCGAGCACCTGACTGCTCCACTCCTTCGTATATATAAAACTCGCTGCTAGAAACTCTTGAAGAAGCAAGCGGCGTACACTCTTTTCTCGCGCCCTTCAACACACTGCTATTAGATGCTGTAGCAATGCTCCGTATGATGTGTCTCGCGCTGATTCGTTTGATTACAACTGCAAATGCGTGATGTATTGAGAGAGAGCCTACTAGCGCTTATGGCTTAATGCAGGATGCCTCTTACGGTACCAGTGCGAACGGAACCCAATTAAATTTCTAGCGAATACAAAGCGGACACATGGCTACGTTAGCAAGCATTAACTAGCCCGCCATGATAAAAATCTCGTTGCTGATAGCCTGGTGGCCTGTTGCAAGCATACTCTATCAACGCTTCTTTCCCCTCTCTGTCTTTGGAAGCGCCCTACGAAAACAAACACCGTGCAAGCGACGTGTTTAAATAAGGGTATGATACGATATAAATGATTTCATGGTTTATAAGACTGAACAGTTCAACAAGTTCGACGTCCGACTATATGGAGGCACTCGCTCTCCCGCCGCTCGAAGCCCCTCAGTGCATGAGATGCGGACGCCCAACTACGAAATTCATCACGAGGTCGTCAAACAGAAATGGGAATGCAGGCCGACCGTATTACAAATGCGGTCCTTGCAAGAAGTTTCATAACTTCGCGGATAATCGTGGGATCAACACTGATAATCCGAAGTGCTGCTGTGGCCAAGTCAGCAGGATGCAAAAATCAGGGGTTGGAGTTTTACATTTCGTTTGTCAATTTGGGTGTTGTAATTTCTACCATAGTTCGGGGCAGGCCGTTGATCATGACTTAGCAGTCATGCTTCAAAACCTTAAAATTATATGAAAAACTGCAAAGCTTTTGCTTTAACGTTAACATCAACCCTTAAGCGATCAATGCGGTGTATGTCTTTACCCAAGTGAGTGGAGCTGCGTTAAGTTGTATTCATCTACCCTAGACCGTCGCCCTAAGCGATATCAGGCTACAGGCTACTGGAAAGAGATATGCTAGTAATATACATGGTAGTATTTCTACGAGGCGGAATATAAAGAGTCGGGGTGGGCGAAACAAGGAGATTGAGTAAGGATTTTACTCGCTGTGGTTTCTATTTTGGACCTTCTTATTAATTAAATTAATTGTAGAGCTGGCGCGAGGAATTGGACGCTGCTTATCCCTCTAAATTAATGCTACCTATGGAGGTATATAAGCTGCTATCTAGAAAGACACGTTTATTCTTTGAGACCATTGTTTCCTTGCAGTGGATGAATGAGTAGTGTAAGGGGTAAGGTTATTGTATAATAATAGATAGTAAAGCTAAGAATGTGTATTATCGGAGTAACCCTGGCTGGAACTAATTAAAAAGGAGAGAACCAGGCCCTCAGGAACCGACTTATCGAAGACTATCCGGATATCCCCGTTATACAACCGAATAATGCGTATGTTGAAGACACTCTGAAATAGGCTCACTCATAGAGTTACTAATCCGAGATTTAGGTGGTTAGCAATTATTAAGTAATCCTGTACTGTATTTTATCGGTCTACTTACGCTAACAACTATAGAGGTGCTGTGCTTTACCAACTGCCATATTAGATTTCGGTGGAATCTAGCATCGCAGAACGCCATTACGGTGATAACTAGAAGAGTGTGTACGACGAGGAAAAAGATGAAGGCCGAAAGGATGGGACAGCCACGAGCAGTTATATCGCACCTAAAAGCTGTCGTGGTTTATTAATAAAGTCCGGCTAAAAAAATTCCCAATTTACGAGTATGTATGTGCTAATAAAGACCCAGTATGAGGACCTTCAACGAGATCTGGCCATTAAGCTCCCTAGTTACAACACCTTCGACCTTGACATGGACAATGGCAGTTACCAATCTGTTTAGAAGCTTTAAACGTGCTCAAAGAACGCCGCTCCGGTTTATCCAACTAAAGGTCAGTAACCGGGGCTCAGAGGTTCTTCAAATGAACGTAGCTGGTTTAAGAAGCCGTTGAAACCAATTGTACCCTCCATGTGGACCTTAGCAAAGTTCCGAAAGAGAAAATTGGGAAACGCACCGGTCCAGACGGGACTCCCTATTTAAAGCTGAAATATAACCTCTTGGGGAAGATTGAGGGGGCTCGGATGGTCTTCACATTTGAATGTGGGGGTAGGGAGTATGCCAGTGTCCAGGCGGATTTTAGATCATAAGTTACACTACATAATGTTTTCTTGTCCAGAGGAATAAGGGAATAATTTGCTTTCTTCGTAGTGACAGTTTCAGTGTCGTCACTATCATTTATTAACGGAAAGTAATTGCTACTCGCTTCTGTGAACGACGTGAACAGTGCAGGCCCAGCTTAGGACCATGGTCCGGCTCTGTACAACCGATGCCTCCACAATATGAATACTTCTTGTCAGCTTTGAATACTAGACATAATCTAGCTCTGAAACCTTAGTCTTGCCCGCACTGAAATTAAAACACAAACTAATGTTAAAAACCAAATAACTGTCAACGACTCCGTACTCTTCTCATATGAACCCTAGATGAAGATAGCTTTCAGGGGAGCAAAAGGATTTCAAGGCTTCTGTAACTGAAGGAAAGTTCTTTTCCGCATTTACCGAGCACGAACTTCAGTCAGATCTAACCGTATAGACAACCCCACTCCACCAAACTGTATAAATAGTAGACCTACAAAGCGGCCGCACATTAGACTTAGTTGCCTTTATGGTTAACATGGGTGGCATGTGTAGTATTGGTATCGTTTTCAAAGTAGCTGAATGACGCGCACCCTGACGATCGTTGGCCTCTCTTTTTTTCCGTAATTCCATGGGCTACCTCTTGGATGTTAGGCGTGAAATATCTTGCTTACATCGGTTGAGACAAACAAGGCGCTGGCATGAAGCCGGATCCAGAGTCGCGAGGCCTGGAGGATAAGCGGGCACGACTCATGTTCGAGAGCCGTGCTCCCTCGACCTTGTCATGTAGTGTACGCCTAAACGCTAGCAGCCCTCGTCGCCGCGCCGTCAATCTCTCCCGCCTCCTATTTCCCGTACGCAAGCCATCAGAACGCGACAAAATTCACCGATCAAGGCATCTCCACGGTTAACGCATTCTTTTTCTCTCACCGACATAATGTAGAGCGTAGAGGCCCGTCTGGAATGGCTGCTGCGTGCACGACGCTACGTGGTGCCGGCTGCGGCGCTTTGCCGAAGGAGGCATTTCGATGAGCAGCTAAAGCTGACGGCGTGGCGCGAGCGTGCGCCGAGTGGGGGTACTAGTCAGTCTTGGTAGTGAATACTCAAGACCTTTGCATCCTCATGGACCTCCCTGACCGGTCTCGACATAAATTCTGGCGAAGGGGGAACTCTATCTTTCGTCGCACCTGCAACGGTCTTGTCGACTCTGAACTTGTTACATTGTCGGATAATCATGTTAAAGGAATTGTTGGGAACAATGAAACATTAGTGGAGTCCGGATCTCCGAGTAGAGCATTATGGGAGAGACAGTAGCGAAGGCTTGACCTGCGGCCAAGGTAAGAAGCCTTCGTCCCGACGGCAGCGGCGGTAATAACGTAAAACCGCCTGTGTTTATCAGCATGTGGTGGCCCTCATCCTAACCGGGGTCAAGCAATGTCACGCATAATAACGATGGCGAGAACGGATGGTATAGACTACACTAGGTCATGACCAGCTTCCAGTAGAAGCAATCGATGGGCAATAGCATTGGCATGGCCCTCTGCACGCGGTTCGACCGCGGAAGTGGCGGAAGAGAGAAGGCTACCGGCGCAGTGGACCCAAGTCAGGCACACCTGCTTCGACCACGGCTGCACGGATCGAAATAACCTATTTTGTCGCATTGCATCACAATCAGGGTAGACAGTGTTGGAAAGCTTTATGTTCGCGGAAGGCGAGGTGCGCGACCTGACACTATGAGCTTGGTGAATGTCTCTAAGGTAGACAGCATCAGCGCATTCTCTCCCGCGGAGATCGATGCATGCGATTAGAAGGTCCGTTGCTTATCTGCGAAGGTTTTATAGAGATTATAGTCGTTTTATAATCTTTTCTTTTGCATATTTGTGTCGGTGCAGATATAGTGACGTTGACAAGCCATAAGCTGAAAAAGAAAATGTGAAGCTGGGCGCGAGGAATTGGACGCCGCTTGTCCCCCTAAATTACTACTACCTATGGAGGTATATATGCTGCTATCTAAAAGAATACGTTTTCTCTTTAAGATCCTTACTCCCTTGCAGTGGATAAACGTGTGGTGTAAGGGGTAAGGCTGTAGTGTAACAACTGACTGTAATAAGGCTAAAAAACCGAGAGTTATCGGAGTAATCCTGGCTGACAAATTCCGTTCCACTCCTTACTATTTTACCTTCTCTAAAATCCCTTTTCTTTCCTTTATTTTACTACATCGGCCTAGATCCAACCATCACTCGCACCACCTCGCTTTTATCTTGTATCTAAACCCCCCTAGCTAGTCCTAAACGGACCGTCCGTCATAGTTTCCAACTGCATATAGACGTAAAACGAATCAATCAATCAATCAATCAATCATAGCTAGAATCCGTCCATCCGGCAGATCCGAACTTACTAACCAAGGCCCGACCCGGGCCAATACTACCAGCAAAAGAAGGCGCACAGCACACACAACACCTTATCGTAGTAGCAAAGCCTGCACCGCCTTAGCGCGGCCGTAAGGCTAGGCTCCATCACAATAGCGTCCACGCCCACCAGACGCAAATTCTCTCACCGGTGGTCAAAGCGCAGACTTGGCACAGCGTCTAAACTATAGCTTCAAACCCCAGTACCGAATCACGTATACGACGCCAGTCAACGTCTACTCTACCAAGCACAACTAGAATCACCCGGTCCCAATCAGCTGCTCCCCACAAGAACACAAGAGAGAGACGCCACGAGGCGAGCCGCAGGCTCAACCAGGATATAGAAGACGAAGTTCACGTGATCTCTATACAAGACGGCAGCTCCAACAGCCACACCACACAGTC